GCCCGAGCGCTCACCCTCGCCCTGCGGCGCCGGCGGGCGGCGGCCGCGCTGCCGGGGGCTGCGGGCGGTGAGCGGGGCTGAGCGGGCGGGAGGGTCCGGCGCGGCCCGCGGTACAGGCGGAGCGACGGGGCGTCGCTTCCCCGACTGCTCTGCAGCCGGGCCCCGCACACCTCCCGGCGAGTGTGTGTGCGAGCTCCTGGATGCGTCCCCGGCACCGCCGGCCGGGCCGGCAGTGCCGCACCAGCCCAGTGCCCGCCCGGCAGGCCCGGAGCGGAGGGGGGGCTCTCCCAGTGGAGGTGTTTGTCCCCTGCCGCCTCCTTTGCAGCCCAGAGGTGTCTGTGGATCGCTCCATCGTTCGCTGCAGCTTAAAATCATCCTCAGGGGTGTTTTGCTGTGGGTGTGGTGAGGCACTGCTGTGATCTTGGGGGCTCGATGTAAGCGGGGGTGCGCTGTGCCAGGAGATCCGAGCTCTGCGTCGGCGAAGCAGGAGCGGAGAGCAGTTTCAGGACAGTGTCCTTGGCCTGTCTGCACAGTCAGTGAGGTTTTCTTAGTTACGTTTCCTTACCAGTTCATACAATGCAAGATGGGGGTGCAGCTGTGTATTTGTCATCCCAACACTGTCGATAAGTGTGTGTATGCACACCTTATGATCAGAGTAAACATTCTGGGGAAATTCACACTAATTGAAACATTTCAGCTGCATGAAAAGCTCCATTCAGGCTCTGAAAAATGGCATTGCACGTAACTTGAGGAGTACAGGGGTGGTCAATAGCATACACTCTTATTTAATGGCCATGCACTCCTGAAGTATGATAGTGAACAAATGTGCAAAGATTTGCGTGGTTAGTATTGTGCTAGAGCAGCATTCTTACAACTGTGTGTTTTGCCTCTGAGCTCTCCTAAAGCTGATGTTTTTCATTTGGTTGTCTTTTATTTATGCAGATGGCCATGCTGATCTGTCTTTTCAGACAGGCCTGAGAGGTATCCTTCAGGACTACAACTGGAAAATACAACTGAAATCCAGTAGTACTCTGCCTGTCTCACTGACTGAAATGAAAAGCAGCGTGTAAGTATTGCATCTAAAATAATCCCATGTGACAGGGACTACCATTTTCTATAACAATTTAATTTTACTTTGTGACAGTGTCGCATGGAGCCATTTCTACGTCTCACTCATGTTTAAATGTTTGAAGTGGCCTATTCCTGTTTTGTTAATTACTGACATAAAAATTACAGGCATGCAGCCATCTGTTTGGGAAGATGTGTCACCCATATAGTGTATAAAATCTGTGTGCTACTAAGCAAGTTGAACTAGAGTCTCTAAAGGAACATGAGTTTTGCCTTTTTTCATTTTCTGATGCAGAATTTGTTTCTCTTTAATTTCAGCAAATAGAAAATATCAGTATTAGTTTAATACTGACATTCAGCTTTCATTATTTAGGATCACTGCGAAGAGGCCTCTCAGCACTTCACACTCATCAGTGGATTCAGAGGAAATAAAAAAATTCCAGCTCCTCGCGCATAAGTGGTGGGATGAAGAAGGAGAATATTCAGCCCTTCATTCTATGAATGATATTAGAGTGCCATTTATTAGGTATGGTTTTGAAGACAGTTTTTCTTAAATGTACTATTTCTGCATAACCTCAGAAAACTTGTAAAAAGAAAAATTGTAAAAGAAAAACAATTATCAGTACTTAAGGTAACTGAATATTGCATCTCCTAAAGCACCTTGTGTGTTCGACCTTAATCACATCCCTTTTCTTTCAGAGATACTCTGTTGAGCATGAGTTGTAATTATCATCTGGGAAATCCACTTTCTGGAGTAAAGATTCTTGATGTTGGCTGTGGTGGAGGACTGCTAAGTGAGGTAAGAAATAGCGTGCTCTGTGTTTTCTGGTTAAAAAGTGTACAAGGTATTTGAATTGTTTTACTGTTACACTGCTTAGTTTCTAATATTCCAAGGAGGACCTTTTCTCTTCTTTGATATGTTAGTTACTGAATATAGTGTAGTGTATCCTACAAACCCTGTGGAATATTTGGTTTGCATAGTGGTGGTGGTGGTGGTTTAAGAAAACAAGAGAGGTGGTAATGAGAAATTCTAAAATTCTGAGGTTCATCAGTAAAATAAGATCTCAAACACTCAAAAGGGAAGGAACATGAAAACATCTTTGAGGGTTTGTTTTTTTTTTTTCAATTTACAAGCCTAGGCAAGAATACTTAGAATAATGACAATCTTCATTACTGAAGAAGTATTTTCTGATGTTACAGAGGCTTCCTGAGAAGTCTGCACAAATCTGGGACTGAGAAGTTGCTGTTTGTGATGGAACCCTTTGTCCACAAAAGCTCTGAACAGTAGTGCTGTGTCCCATGGATAGACCAGGGATAATTTGTGAATTTAGGGTTACAGATGTGGATGACTTACCCTGAATCTCTCCCCTCTTTTCTTTCTTTCTTTTTTTTTTTTTTTCCTCTTCTAAACAAATCCTGTAGCCTTGTGAGAGTGGTCTCTCTGACAAGGCTGGCAAAACTGGTGTGCTGCATCACCTTCTCAGGCTGAACAACTGGTAAATTTCAGGTTGGAATATCAGACATGTGGTCATGTTCTGCAGCCTGTTTCAGTTTCAAAAGAGGTGATGACTGAGGTGTTAACCTAGGAGTAAGAAGACACTGGAGAAACCTGAGTGACAGCCAAGGCTGATGCTATCCTAGTAAACATCAGTGTTTAGTTCTCAGCAGTGAAAAAGTCCCAGAGATAATCATATATTAAGTAACCATTAAAAAGATATGAGGATTTACCATTACAGGTGGATGTTGAAGAAAGTAATGACAGTAATTAAATACGGCATTGTTTTCCCCCCTTTAATTACTGTGTTGATTTCCCCTCTCTGTTTTTTTCCTCTATCAGAGAGTAAGAGTGGAGGAAATCTTTATTTGGTGTAACAAAATAGATTCAGAATAAATTATTCTAAAAGACAAGTATTTTCCAGTATATAATATGTGTATATTGCAGTGTATAATTTTCTAAGAAAATTAACACCACCTCTTCCAAATCTAAGGGTTTTCTTGCTTCGATAAACATTTAAAATAAAATTGCTGGATCAGAGCTCATCATACTGCTGTTTGTCTTGTTCTCTAATGGATGTTTTCTGCATCATGTATGTACATTGCAAAGTTACCCTAAAGTAAATTGTTTTCATGCAGAGAATAAATTATACTCTGTTTTATTAGCCTTTAGCTAGACTCGGAGCTTCAGTTACTGGAATTGATCCTCTGGAGGACAACATTAGAACAGCAGATCGGCACAAGTCATTTGATCCAGTCCTGGCCAAGAGAATACAGTACAAGTCCAGTTCACTGGAGGAGATTGTGGAAGAGTCTATGGAAACCTTTGATGTAATTGTAGCTTCTGAAGTAGTGGAGCATGTGGCTGACCTTGAAACGTTTATCAAGTGTTGTTCTCAGGTGTTAAAGGTAAGAGAGTTTTTGCTTTCATTATTGGCAATATTTATTCTCTACTATTATGGCTCTTATTTAAAGGAGTGTGAAAGCACATCTGCATTCATGTCTCCACTTTGCAGTCAGAAGCACTCTAGAGGTGCCTACCACTCTTCTTTTGTGATGCAAGTACATCTTCCCACCTTTAGTTGGGGAATTTATTTCCCCAGCCCTGCCTTAGCAAAGCGTTAGTGTTATTAGTGTTGTTACCTAGTATTGCAATGTTGCATTGCATCAAGACCTTAAGAAGTCAGGTTGCATCTGATTTCACCCAGGTGAGAGAAAACATGACAGTGCTGCTGTTGATGGACAACTATGGCTCAGACTGCATTGAAACTGAGGTGTTAACCTAGGAGTAAGAAGACACTGGAGAAACCTGAGCAACAGCCAAGGCTGATGCTATCGTAGTAAACATCAGTGTTTAGTTCTCAGCAGATGTTTCTGACTCAGAAGATGCTATTCCAGCTCCAGCATTACATCAGATGTGCTCCTGGATTGCTTTTAAAGGGTCGTAGTTATACTTGAAAATAATCAGGTGGTTATTCCTCTTGATATTCATTTGTAAAGAAGAATGGTAGGCTCAGCACACAAGCAGCAGCTTTCCTTTAATCTCTTTATCTTTCTGATCACCAGAAGGAATATCGGTTATTTGAATGGAACTAATTTTTAGCCAGATAGGGACAAAGAAATTTTCGTTTATTTCTACCAAACAGTCTTCTGAAGACTTTTAATTATTTTCTGGCCTTGTTTTTTTAACCATGTGATCATTAAAACAAGCACAGCACGGCACTCGGGAGTCTCAAAAATTAGGCAGTCTTGGACATTTTACTTTGATTTCAATTAAAAAGTGGTTTGGGATTTTTTTTGTTTGTTTGTTTGATTGCTTTTTGGTTTGGGGGAGTTTTTACAATAGATATTGTATATGCCTTAATACCTTTTATTTAACCATTTCCTGGGCAGGAAATGTTATAAGTGACTTTGTTCTTGGTTAGGTGTTCTTTGGGCAAGGAAATGGTTTTTAGGCCGTGCAAGACTCTGATTATGTTGACTCTGAGGACTACTGCATCATACTGTTACAACATTATATTCTGTCTTGTATTTAAATGTTACACTTCTAAATACCTATCTTGGGAAGAAATTACTTCTTTTTGCATTGTGTAGAGTTGCAGATTGACAAATTCTATATTTTAAGGTGATTAAATTTACAATTTTTAAAATTGATATTCTTCTAATTGAACATTTTAATCTTCTAATTAGCCTGAAGGTTCTTTATTCATTACGACAATCAATAAAACACAGTTGTCCTACGTCCTGGGAATTGTAGTTGCAGAAAAGATAATGGGCATTGTACCAGAAGGAACACATGAGTGGGAGAAGTTTGTTCCCCCTGAAGAGCTGGAGCACCTCCTGGAATCAAGTAAGTTCCAGGCCAAATGATGGGAATGCAGAGAGAGATATCCAAATAGTCCCTGTAGAAATAGCAAAGGAATAAGCTAGATGGGGTGAGAGCAAAAGACAATACACAGTTTTTCCTGACTGAGTTAACAGTCATATATTATGAGTATAATTTCTGGTTTAAAGACACTGCTGCTTACTGGATTTTGCAAAAAATAAATAAACTAAGTGAAATCCTAAGAATGCAGTGATTACTCAAACAAATCATGTTACAGCTGCCCTCTCTTTGACAGCCTAAATAAAAATTCCAAGGTTTTCCATTGTGTTCTGGTGGCAGAATGTATGCTCTGAAGTGGTTCATGTGCTCTAGGCCAGGTCTGAGGCAATAACTGTACTGGCACTCCAGAGCTGCACTGCTGACACTGCATTGTTTGCATCTTTCCCTTGGGAGGAGAAGTTTTTAGTTTTGGTTGCTGCTCCATGTTCTCTATTCATATTATGTTGCTACAATATTTCTTCAAAAATGTGAAGATAAAACCTACCACAAATTCGTTACTCATTTCTTGAAAAACTATTATACTGATTTTAATTATTTCTAATTAAATTGCCCTGCTTTGATTGCTTTTAAAATAGACAGAGCACTGAGCTGGGAAGAGTTCTGCCCATTGCCCTCCTTTGCTGCAGATGTCTTAAAACCCTGTCACGGAACATTTCACTTTGCTTTAATTCACTGCAAAGAAACTGAAGTATGAGTGGAGCTATTCTCTTGGCAAGGTCTTTTCCTGGCACTTTGCAGTGCTGCCATAAGGAACATGACTAATACTGGTTCACATACTGGTGGTTCTTTCTGTTCTTCCTTCAAAAGGAGAAGCAGGTGCAGTGGAGTGATTTGTTTTGATAGGGTGTTTGTTTTCTGCCTTCCATCCTGTATCCTGCTGGGACACAGCGGATCCATGCAGCGAACTGAGCGCTGCTCAGCAGGGAGTGATAAATCACTCTTTATTTGCACTGAGCCCTCGATGGCATTCTTCTGCCTCTTTCTTACGTTTTTCCATTCCTAAAGGAGATCTGCAGAATCCTTCCAAATATGCTCAGATTTTGATTCTGGAGTGTGTGACGTCAATCTGAAGAATGTCTCTTTACAGAAAACGTTACCAGTCACGCAGGTGTGGTGGTGTGAAGTTGGGGTTTCTGGCAGAGCACATTGCAGGGGCTCACGTGTAGCGTGCTGATGGTCCGTGGCCTGGCACAGAGATGCTGAAGCCACTGCCAGGAGCAGGACCTGCTGTCACCTGCAATGCCAGTGGCACTGCATGTGGTGGTGTCTGACAAAGCCCAGCTTGTGAAGTGCTGCTCCCCAGCCTGCAGGAAGAAGTGTATTTCAGTCTTGCTCTTCTAAAGACCTTGATGTTGCAGTGATTTACAATATTTAAGAACATCAGTTCCTTTATATGGTTTCTTTCTTTCCTAGATGGCTTTTCAGTCAAGACTGTGAATGGGATGTTGTATAATCCGCTCTGGGGTTCGTGGAGCTGGATGGAAAGCACGAGCCTTAACTACGCAATGCATGCCGTGAAGTCTGGGGCTCAGGGACAGTCAGGCCCCACAGATGCCCCGTCAGAGATGGACATTCAACAGCGCTCAGCCACAGCTGGCACAGCTGGCACTGCCTCAGATGTCACTGTCTGAGATTTGTGGTGATGCACTGTCACCAGGACAGAAAAGAAGGTTTTACTCAGATGGACATAATAAAACCTTTTCTAACAACAAGTTTCCTGTTTGCATCAATAATACTTGTGCTATTTTTGGCCAAATATTTTAGGGCAGTCTCATAAAAAAACAAGTGCCCATTATCTCAGGAGTCTTTTAAGATTGAAATGATCAAAGCTTTTAAAGAGTAAGTATTTTTATGAGAAAGTAGTTTCAAATTGTTGGACAGGGAAATGCAAATTATTCTGTCAGTAGCTTGGAGGAAGCTCCTCTATGTGGAGGCATTTTCAGTCCTACTGGGACTCAGATCTTCACAGAATAATAGTGTAAATGTAAAATGAGTTAAAACCCACAATGATGTACAATAAATAAAATGCATTGGGTATTTAAGATACTCAACTCTGTTATGATGCCTCAGAGCTTTTTTTTTATTTTTAAACTTCTATAGATTTTAGAAGTAGATGTGTAATGAATGTAGATTTTAATGTAGCTGTATTATGTCCCTTACCCTGTAGCATAATGTTTACACATACCTAACCCTATTATCCCATTTCATATCAATAACTCTAAAATTGTGTTAGCATGTTCAGTCTTCTTTTCAAGGTAGAATTGTAGAAAAACATCCTAAGGCCTGGACCAGAAGATATCACAGAGACACAGTGACCTTCAAGCCCAGAACTCTGGAGGAACTCCAAGGTCTGTTGTGTGCTGAGAAGAAGACAAGGATGAGGAAGAAGGGATCCCAAATGCCCCCAGACCCAATTCCCGAAGGGGCATGTTGGGGGGCAGAACTGGGGGTGGACAGAACTGGGATTGGATGGACCTTATAAAATCATAGAACCACTATCTAGAGGCACGCATGGTATGGATTCCCTGGGCCTTAGGCCTGAGATTAAAGGACCTGCTCTCTTATACACTAAGTTGGCCTGGAGTCTTTTTCTCTCTGCAGTCTTTTAGGCAACAGTTAAAATGTATGAAACACATTTCACTTTTTTCAGTGAACTAATATGCCTTTCTCCCTGAGAGAAGGGGAAAAAGAAAGAGCAAACCTTTTCTGTTGAGTCCTGCTATATCTGCAGTTGATGTGAGGTAACTGCAGTGGAAGAAGAGTCATAGATCAGAGTGCCTCTGCTGTTGAAGCCTCTTCACCATAAAGATTCTTGTATTTGTGCCTATAATTTCAATTTTCTCTCTCTGCCCAAATAAAGGGAAGTAAAGCTGTGGGTAAAATTTTACTAAGCAACCAGAGCTTTATGCTAGAAAAATGACATATTAGTAGCCTGTCCTAGAACTGAAGTGCCACATCTACTCAGTCCTAATGTCCGAGAGCCCAGGTAAGAAAAAGTGATTTACAATGAACAGAACTTTCTAAATAAAGTGTCTGTGTGTGTGTGTGTCTATGACTGTATCTCCTTTTTCTTTCAGGTTGTACACAGCTAGAGAGGTGGCTTGTCTGCAGGCATGAAAATGAAACTTTTTTCCTTCCCTTATTTTTCTCCCCTTTTTTGTTTGCTTGTTCATTTTTCCTGCTGTAGAGGTGTGGTGGGCTAAATTATTGTTTTACACATTTGCATTCTTGCTGCTTTGCTGTATCTGCATGTTGCCTTCAGATCCAAGTTTCATGATGGATTTGATGATGGCCAGGAAAATGTATTTAATTTATGATGGAAATAATAGTAATTCATAAGTATTAAGACTACAAAGGATTATCTGGTGTGATCGTTTCCATGACAGTAAGTTCCACTTCATAATATTTCTTTGGCTATAGCTTGGCTTTGAGCAAGTGGTTCATCATCATGTAAAGTGTTCAGTGATGGAGAAGCCATCACTGAAGTAAGCCATCATGTTACTTACTGCATCAGTAAGTAAATTGTTCCAAAGGTTCATTGGTTGAAGTGGTCTAAACCTCAGAACCTAGCCAGTGATGCCTTAACATCTCCATTTTTATGCTTAAGGACCTGTATCAGCTGCAGTTTTGAGTCAAATCACCCCTTAATTTTCTCACAGATAAATGGTCTGAGATTATCTCTACAGCTATTACCACTGCATATGAGTTCCTGTAAAATTTTGTGGTAAACATCCTTTCTGAAGCATGACAGTGGCAATGGATGCAGCATTTCAGTAATGGTTTCACTAATGCTGTCTGCAGGAGGAATACATCATTCTCTTTCTGCCTGACCACCTGCTTGGGAGTCGCTGCTCCACTGGTCATGCATGCAGTGTGGTGCACAGCATTGAGGAGAGGAGTGACACTGGGGAAAAATGTGGAGTCTAAGCAGATAAAGCAGTGGTCTTTGATCCTATCAGTGTGTTCAGGCGCATTGACCTATGTGGCTTGAGTAAGTTCCCCTAACCAAATTACCAACTTCAGTCTAGGTTACGACAACTCTATGACTGTTGTTTCAATTTTTGCCAACAGTGAATTAAAAGAAATATTCTGAAAAGCACTGAGACCTGGGCACATTCCTGGGGTAGCCCACTAGAAACATCTCCCAAGAGGGACCTGTCATCTCCCTCCCCACCAATTTGTTTTGAGACCTGTCTCATGAAATAAAAATAATGTAGATAGAACTCGAATAGAAACAGCTGAATTTAAGAGCCCTAAATCCAGATGTTTGTGTGACCCGCTGTTATCTTGGTTTTCTCATCCTTTTCTTTTTTCCCACTTCACAGAATCAAAGAATATTCTGAGTTGAAAGGGACCCACAAGGATCATCAAGTCCAACTCTGAAGTGAATTACTTGTTCAGTAATTCTCAGAATTGCTCGCAGTTTTTCATTAAACTGTGAGCCACCTGGGGAAGAAACTGTTTTGCTGGGGTTTTTTTCACTGCTATTTCTATTGCAAATGGCACAAAAAGCCTTTGATGCTGCCTGGGTTCTCTGTCCAGGCTCACAGGGATCATGTACCTAATGAATAGTGGTTTAAGCAACAAGCACATGGACCTGGCTATCCATGGATACCTCTGGTTTTGACAAAAACCTTATCACAAGCACCCAACCTTCTGCTCCTACATGCCTGTTGGAGCCTTGTCAATCCAGGAGAGTTTTGTGAGCAGTGTGGTCAAAGGAGTGGGGATGCCATGCACAGGTCCTTGTACCCATAGCATGTCTTCAGATGCCCTGATGTGCTCCATCCAAAGTCTCTAACCCTCAGTTTTCTTCTGGTGGATTGTCCTAACTATTCTGCCTGTATTTAGCCCCCCTCTTTAAAACAGACTCATTTTAAACTAGAAAGTAAATGACTGTGGTAGAGATAATTTTAGTGAGATAACAAACAGTGCAAGAATGCCCTATACCTTTTTATCTTTTTTTTTTTTTAATCCCCATATTATTCATAGATGTGCAATTCTGTAATCAAATTCAGTACAGTGTAATCAAATTCAGTACTGTGCATTGAATACATACTACGTATTTGTGCTACAGAAACTTTTTTCTTAAAATCTGTGCATAGGAAACCAAGTTTTCACTCTTCTCTTAGCCCAGTTCCTGCAGAAATTTAATAGTGCTATTGAAATGGGCAGAGTGTAAGTCAAGTAAATTTGAAAATCTTTTTGCTTTCATGTTGTTCATGATTATGAAACCATAGCTTCAATGCTTACATGAACAGTGACAGTAGGAGGTGAAAAAAGCAGTGTTACAGCAACCAGGCATGCACACAGAACTGGGTGAGGCAAGAGGTTATTCTTGCCATGAGATTGGGAAAAAATTGTATTTGGGGCTTGCTCTTTACCAGTGTCTGTTTAATGCTCATTGTAGACTCTTGACTCTCCTGATCCCAGGCATTTGTTTCTGCAGCACAAATCAGAGTAAGGAGCTGATCTTGCAAAAAAATCCAACAGAGCAAATGATGGTGTTCTGGGTGGTCTCAGCTGTTCAGCTGTGGTTTGGCTTGTCATTTCGTTTCATCTCTCCCACACTGCTCCACATAGTCCTAGTTCCAGCTCTTTGCTGAGACTAGTTCTTGTCTGAGGTGTAAATATGTATGTATGTAAATAAGTATGACAGCCTCAGAGGAGATTTGTATTTTATCTTCTTTTTAAATAAAAATACAACTTGAAGTTTCCATGATTTCTGTTACATTATCTTATTGTCCATTGTTCTTTGGTGGTCCAGTGACATTTCACGGCCATTTTTGCAGGACTTGACAATTTCTTTCCTTTCGTTTTCACCAACACCCTATGTCAGGTTCCTAGGGGATGGAAAAAAGGAGAGAGAAAGGAGTGGGAAAGGAAATGTGCGGTGGCTGTGAGTAGCGATAAGAATAAATATCCTGTAGAAAGTTTTTCTGAAAATGGCTTCTGCAGTTTTTCATTCAGTTGAAATCTCAGCTTTAATTAAAACAAAACAAAACAAAGAAACTTATTTTTCATTCACTTGAAAGGAATAATGGCATGTGGTCTAGAGGTTCAGAAGTCAGAAGACTCCATGTCTGTAATTAGCCGGCCTGATGAAGAAGTTGGGAAGAGAAAAAGTGAGACAGAACATGAATCATCACATGAGTGCTGAAACTGTAGATGCAGGCATTTGAGAGGTGCCCAGGAGTACCTGAATGGGGGATAGCATTGAAAAGCCAGAAATAGTAGAAGGAATATGAAGGAATTATTCTGATGGAGACGAGAAGTGTGAAGTAGAGGTATAGAAGGCAGTCTGTTCTAGTGGGCCTTTGAAGAGGAGCTACTGGTGGCTCTGAGAGTGGCTCTGTGTCAGACTGAAGCACAACAGTTCAGGTATTTACAGCTTCCCCTCATTTTTGCATGGTAACTTCCAGTGCTTCATTTCAAATGTCTACACTCTCACTGAGCTCCTAGAAGGAAAGGTGGGCTCCTCTCACTTCAGACTGAGGGTTGGTGACTTATTAATCATGGTGCTCTCCGTGTTTGTGCACCCTTACCCTTCACTATCTATTCCAAGATGCCCACAGATACAAACAACTTTTTCCAAAAACTGCAACACTGTTGAATTGAGTCAGCATTTATTTAACAAAATTACTAACATTATCTTCTTAAAGGGAAAAATGCAGAAGTCCGGATGCATAATTTCTTTTCCTCATCACCTCCCCTTTGAAGTTCTCAAGCTGCTTCACAGCACTGCTTCTCCCTTACTGCCTCTGTTGGGCTTTGCTGAACCTGCAAGGGAGCAGCAACACTTGGTGTAGAATCATCCCTCAGTACCTCTAAAGCAGAGCCTGTGGTTTATTTGGTTCTGACCTGTCTCATAATAACTTCCTATTTTTCTAACTTGCGATGAATTTTGTTGCATTGTCTCCTGTTTCATGATAAAAAGAACTATTTCTATTTTTTAGTGACTTGTGTAATGCACAGTCTTGCTACCATAATATGCTTTATGTTTTCCCCCACACCCTTCTCCAATGGAAAGTAGAGCGCTGCTTTTATAACTCTTTTAGAGTA